CTTTGTTTATTTCTGAGCATCAAAGTATAATAGAGATATAAACAAACCATTAGGATGCTCCAAAATCTGGAAACTACTTAATAGGAAGAACTATTGCAGAAACTAAAAATGCTAATTGTAGAGAAGGGTCTATTTGGACAAAGGAAAACATGAGAACCAACATCAAATTTTTAAAGGTTGTTATGTGGAACAAAAGAGCTTTGCTTGATATTACTGTAGAGAGCAAAAGTAGGTCCAGGGAACAAAACCTGGAACATGACCTCAGATGAACATTAAGAACATTAAGAAAATCAGCACTCACCACATAGGTGATATTGTCAAGAGAACTTTTTTGTTGGGCTAGGGATTATTTTAGATGACCTGTAAAATCCCTTGCAGGAGGTTCAATGATTGGTACTTTTCAAGGAAAGTGTAGTGTTATTATTTTAAAGTTAGGAAATTATCAACATGGCAATCTGAAAGAAGCCAAAATGTTCTGGAAATCAACACCCCATAACCTTCCTCTGAATAGGCCATCCCTGTGCCTTTGTACATGAAATTTGTACTATAGTCACACTTTGGATTGGGCAAAGTCCCTCTTCAAATGTAACTTTTTTCCTAGATAAGTTATGTCTTTAAGCTATTCAGACATTACTACCAGTTTTTTATCATAGTGCTTGGTATATAGTAAGGATCATTTACTGAATGTATTAGTTCTCAGTCATTCATACTTTAGATTGCACAGATTTTATCAGGTTCAATCTTTCTGCCTTAAAATGGCCCTGAAGAGATGGACAATTGGACAGATGAGCATGGATAACCAAGAGAAGTCACAAGGTTTCACCATTTATGCCCCAGTCCTTATGAAACACAGTATGAGCTCTGTGCAGATACCAGGTCCCTCTGAAGGTATTATTATTTTTTTTAGTTGTGAAGCCAGGCTTTTCTCCTCACAGATGAAGTTCTGTGCTAGGCAGTGATCTGGGCCAGGATTTGGCAAGACCACATTGCACCCTGGCTTTCTGCCCAGCCCATCGATTTAGCTCTTTAAATCGCATCATTTAAGCCTACAAATGTCACAGACACCATTAGACAAACTCCTCTGGCCAGCAGTGAAGGAAAGAGAGAACATGATAAGCCCTCTGAGGCAGCCTGTTGAACCATTCTTAATCTTTCATGCTTGGGGGACTACAATGGGAATGGGGTTCGCTGGCAGAATGGCATGGAATACAGGCAGGTTTTGTCTTCAGCAGTTAAGAATAAATTTCAAGGCTTGGTGGCAATGGCAGTTGAGTGAAGTCTGCCAAGTAAAATGGTAAAAGGTGATTAGAAGGAAACCTCTCAATAATACCTTCAGAGATGCCAGGAAATCTATCATTATTTCCTTATTCCCAGAATTATGGCAGAGTAGAAGTAATAGTAAGCATATGGAGAAGGGATTGATCTCAGTCTGGAATGAGGCCAAAGCTGTAAGGGTTATGTGGCTCCAACTTTGGGGACTGGAAGAGAGCAGGGAATGAGGCAAGTCACTTGACATCTACATGAATTTCATGTCAAGAGACAAAATAGGGAACTGAATTTTTGTTTCATTCTCAATGCATAGTGTAAAGGTGGACATAGCTATTTAAAAGAGATTTCCAAGGCTGAGCAGCAGGCCTCTCCTTTCCCCACCATCCTTCTAGTCAGACATCTCTTTAATTCCAAGGTCACAACAACGTTCTTAATGATGAAATCATGTTAAGATATTAGTATCTGTTGGACTGAGGGTGTGACTCAGTAGTAGACTGCTTGCCTTGCATGTGCAAGGCCTTACGTTCAATCCCTGGAACCACACATAAAAAAGATATCACTAGCTGATAGCCATATGATTTATTATTCCTTCTAGGGGTCATTTTGGAGATGTCATACATTAAAGCAAAAGAGTGACTCACTAATGGTACAATATCAGGCAAACATCTGGAGATATTTTTTCTTTCTACAGAAGGATTCAACAAAGCCTGTCATAACAGCCCACTAGAAATGAAATAGATCAGATTAATCCAAATGCAAGGGATGAAAAGTACAACTAGATTTTGAGTTGACTATATACCATCCAATTATACTTATTTCAAATCTTAAATTACCATGATTTCACTGTCGTCTCTCTTCACTACTTTAACTCATGTACATAGTGAGAATTTGACACATAGAATTCCATGAATGGTACTGCTTATTGAATTCATTATGGTAACTATCAGAGGCAATAGTAGTATAGTGCTGCTCCAGTACCTGGCACAGTGCCTGGGGCATATTAACTATTCAAAATTATAATAATTATTTTTACATCTTTATTGCCCCAGCTCTTGGCATAATGCCTGGCATAAAATAGAGCACTGCTGAGTTGCTTCCCGTTGTTCTCACTTTTCCATGGGATACATTTTTCTTCTGTTTTCCCCAATGCTGTGCCTGACTAGTATAGTCTTAGATCTTCCTGTAAGAATAGTGCTTAGCTCAGCACTATCAGTGACACCATCAGAAAAGCCACTTAGCCTTTTCTTCTATAGCAAATGGATAGCGAGTGTTTATGACCATTTTTTCAGATAGGAAAACTGAGGTTATGAGCTGTTACCTTGGAATTTTAGCTTACTGCTCACCCTTGTATCTTATTATAGCTCCCAAAATAGGACTCTGCTCCACATCCCACCCCCCCACCATTTCCCTACCAGGCCATCGTCAATCTCATCAGTTTTATTCTTACACTCTGTGGGGCCTGGAATGCCCTCATATTTTCATATTTATTCCATCCTCCAGGGATTAGCTTAAGAACTACCACCTCCATGAAATCTCTGAGACTTGCAATCCTCATTGAATCTGGTGATCGAGCCTGTTCTGAAATCACAAAGCATCAAATCAGTACCATCTAATTTAGCACTCAACTGTGCCAACTCTCCTCAGTTAGATGGTTTTGCTCATTAAACATCCATTAATTGAGTATCTGTTGTGTAGCATACCCTGTGTGAATGTTTGAGAATTCTCAAATCAAAGTAATCCTACCTTTCTATTGAAGCAGACCAGGTTCCCCACCCAAAAGACCTTTGCCATAATTAAGCTTCTCTTCTTGTCAGAAAGATTTTTACAAAAAGTGTCAAAATAATGTCAGCAGGGTTTCTGCACAGGGCATTGTGGTTTGAAGCTTCCTCTTTCTTGTAAGTACAAGGTTTGCAGACAAAAGGTATGATAGAGTTAGAATCTGCAATCAAGCTTGCTGGGCAAAAAGATATTATCTCTGTTTTCTTGGTAAAAAGTGGTAAAACCTCTGTATAGCCTAAGACTATGGGATAAAGAGTAACTGTTATGTACCCATCTACTGTCATGTAACCACACCACTGAAAATAAATCCAAAAGAATTTCCAGACTTGGGGTCCAGAGATTTTTAGCCATTCACAACTTGGACTGCTGTAGCTTATAAACCTGCTTCCTAAAAATTCCTCAGGTATCCAGCCTCTACTGTCTTACATTAGTATGGCTAAAACATAGGGTGAAATGAAGAAAGATACAGGAATATCAATGGAAGGTTGCCTCATTCTTTCTTCATATAGATACCAAGAGGCTAGGGTGTGCCAGGCACTGGATGAGGTGCAGGTGCTAGAAAAATAGGACAGATGCAATTTTTGCACTTGAGTTTTAAAGTTAATTGGACAGGAGAGATAATTATCCAGCAAGACAAAGAAGTATGTAAAGAGAAATTATGGTAAGCATTCAAAAGAAAGGAAGAGGACAGGGTACAATGGAGAGAAGAATATGAAGCAACTATTTTAGATAGGGTGGTTAGTGAAGGTTGCTGTAAGGAAGTGGTATTTTATTGAGGCCTGCAAGATGAAAAAAGCTGGAGAAGAGTGTCCCAGGCTGTGATCAAAGCTCTTGAGGGAGGAAAAAGTCTCAGCATATTGGAAGAAGATTTAAACTAGGCATGATGGCACAAATCTGTAATCCCTGAAACTTGGTGGTGGGGGAGGACTGAGGCAGTAGGAACACAAGTTTAAGGTCAGCCTCAGAAATTTAGCAAGACCCTGTCTCAAAATAAATTAATTAATTAAAAAGACTCAGTGGTAGTACCACTTGGGAATCACGTGAAAGACTCTGGGTTAAATCCCCAGAATTTTTGTAAATAAATCCCACTTTTTGTAAAAAAATCGTTCTGACCCTTTTGGTTTACAACATAGAGAGCAGTCTACAATTAGTATTGTGAAGAAGAAAAAAAAAATAAGAAGTTCCATAAGGCTAAAGAGTACTGGCTAGGGGTGAGAGAGTTGCTTAAGAAGACAATGGAGAGGTAAATGCTTTGGAGAGCCAATACCTTGCAGACCTTATAAGGAATATTCATTCATCACAAAGGCAGGAGAAAACTAACCAACGAACAATAAAATGGGATTTTTTTTTCATGGATAATTTGGGGGTAAGATAGAAGGTAGACTTCAACGGGAGAAAATACAATCAGGATGATCAGTCAATTCCAAGGTCATAGCAATGCTACAGGTGAGAGATGATGAAAGCAGCTACCTGCTCTTTCCTGCCCCCTCCTGGCACCACATTGATTAGCATAGTGCTAGGCACACTGGGAGCTCTAAGTGATCAAGTAAACAAATGAAAGTTGAATTGAGTTTCTATTCAGGAGGTCACACAATCTCTTCTCCCTTTCCCCTTTTGGTTTACAACATAAAGAGCAGTCTACAATTAGTATTATTAAAGTCATTTGCTGTATAGTTGTCAATGCTTACTCTGAGTGCTGCTTTCCTTTAGCTACTGCTGAGTTACTTGAAAGTAGTGAAAGAAAATACCAGTGCTTCTCAAGAGAGCCAAACAGCACCCTGCTCTCCTGAGAACTGGATGCAAAGAGAAATTTGTCATTTAGCCCTCTTCAGGGCAAGAGGCACCTCTCATCTACAAATGCCAACTTCCCAGAAGATCACAAGGACATGAATTACAAATTCCACTTGATATAATATATGCTTCTCCCTCTGCCAAAGCAAGGATATAATTACCTGAAAGAGTGAGGTAAATGTTTGTGGAAGCTCCATGTCTTCATTTTCTCTTACATCCAGGAGATGAGACAAGGGTATCTTTATCACATTTCCATTTCCTTTTGCTGGCAAAATAGTTCTATAATGAAAAACACTGAAATAGGACCATTCTAGTTCGGCCTCGGAGGGAGCCTGGAGGACTAAGAGATGGGAAGGAAAGGGGAGCCAATCACCTAATGGATCTGAGCCTCATGTTCTCCCCTGAGATCATCATTTCCATCTTACAGGGCTAGTACAAGAAGTCAATAAGGAATGTGAGTGAATTTGATCCTGTAAATTATAAGACAAGAGCTCTATCCTGTGATTCATTCTATGCAAATGAAGGCAAAAACTGTATCTTTTTTTCTTGCCCTCACAGATAAAGTTTAAACACATTGTAGGAGCTCAGTAAATAGGTTTTTACTTAAAAATCAATTCCATTAAGAATAATCTGGCTTTAGATCTGGTACAAATAAAACAGACCATTCACTTCTCAGAATTAAATCAAACAGATTCTCAGATCTGTTAGCGCATTGGTTTGGAACAGTAGAAGGAAAAAAATCATGGATAGGCAGAGGCAGTGCATGCTTATCTTTTGCAGATGGCTTTGGCTGATTGGAGTCAATATCCCTTCCCCAGTGAGCAGCAACAAGAAACAGGATTGCAGTTAGCACTAAAACAGCATTTCAATCTAGGATGTGCATCTGGGACAGTTGCAAATGTAATCTTGAAAATTAGTACAAACCCACAGACCAAGGGCTCAAAAGGAAACTGGCCAAAGATGAGCACCAACTTTCCATCATCAACCAGCAGTATTATTATGAGTATTTTCAGGCAGCAGAAAGGAAGGAAGGAAAGAAGGAAGAATTTGTACCATGTGTTGGAAGGTTTACTCTGCCAGTTGCTTCGATAATGTACACCTCCTGTAACTCTCACAATAGTTTTACAAGGCAAGAATTATTCTCTCACATAGGACCTGGCACACAATAAGCAGTCACTAAATGATAACTGCCAGTGATATTATTAACATGAATAACCTTAGTAATAATAAGTGAAGCACAGAGGGTTTGAGTAACTTAGCCAAGGTCTCAGAGCTGACAAGTAATAGAACGGGTGTTTGCGTTCAGGTCTATATAACCCTAAAGCCTGAGCTTTTTCTGCTGTACCCCTTAGCAAGAGGGAAAGGGTAGTGTCATTAAAACACTTTGGGATTTTTCCAACCCCTTAGCAAGGCTGCCCTCTGTAACTTGTCACCTGAGACCTTCAGATAACTAAGAATGTTTTTGGTCTTTCCCTCTCTCCTCACTCAGCTTTCTAAATTGCTATGAACCATGGCCCAGCTATACTACAAGAAGGTCAATTATTCACCATATAGAGACCGCATCCCCCTGCAAATTGTGAGGGCTGAGACGGAGCTCTCTGCCGAGGAGAAAGCCTTCCTCAATGCTGTGGAGAAGGGGGACTATGCCACTGTGAAGCAGGCACTACAAGAGGCCGAGATCTACTATAATGTCAACATCAACTGCATGGATCCTCTGGGCCGGAGTGCCCTGCTCATTGCTATTGAGAATGAGAACCTGGAGATCATGGAGCTACTGCTGAACCACAGCGTGTATGTGGGTGATGCATTACTCTATGCCATCCGCAAGGAAGTGGTGGGTGCTGTGGAGCTTCTGCTCAGCTACAGGAAGCCCAGTGGAGAGAAACAGGTAAGAGAACTCCCTACATGCTGGGAAATGGCCAGAAACAGCAGCACACAGTTCAAAGCCTTGAAACTAGGGAAGGTTAGATAGGCTGGAGTTAGGAAGCCCTATCTCAGGAATCGCTTCAGTGATCTCAGGTGGTATTCTAGAGCTATGCTGAGTTATGCTCACTTGCCTTTTCCTTTTTAATATTTGCCCATATACATTCAATACATAACAATGCAAAGTTGTGCTCTTCATTTCCAGAATATGCAAGCTCTTTCTACTTCTCCTACCCCTGCTTCTTTCTTCATTTCCTTACTCTACTCAATGGTTACATTGTAGAAAATAAGAGACCAAACACAGACCTGGCTTTCTCATTCCGACTGGCCTCTCTTCTACAGATGAGAAAGGAAACTTTGAACTTGGATGCCACTGTAGAGATACAGATGGACCTAAGCCCTCCCATATTTTCCAAGTACCTGTTCATGTGACTGCAATCCACTCATAGACGTTTGGGTTTTGCCTTGGTTATTATCATATGCTTCAAGGCACCTAGATTAGATATTCCATAGTCATCTTTGATACCTCCCTCTATCTTGCCTCCATATTTAATTCCTAAGCCCTATGCTTTCTTAATTCCCATACATATTTTCTTTTCTCTCTATCCCAGCTTCCACCACTATGACTCTATTTCCATCATCTCTCTCCTAGATGAGTGATTCTCAAAGTATAGTCCCTAGATGAGCAGCATCAACATTAACTGGGAGCTTATTTTAAAATGAAGAACCTTAATACCCCCCAGTTCAGTTCTAAAAATCACAAACTCTGGGGTTGGGTTCAGCAAGCTGTAACTTAATAAGCCCTCCAGGGAATTTTAATGCATGCTAAGGTTTGAGATCCACTGTCCTGGACTAACAAAAAATTTCTAGCTGGCCTCCCTGCATTTTCCCTTCTTTCAAGCCATCCTAAAAAAAAATGAGCTTGGTTTATTTGTATTGAAATCTCATAATGATCCTATCATCCCTGTCCATCTTTCAACAAGTATAATATCTCCTTGAATTAGTCTACGTTCTGTTTCTGTGACAAAATACCTGAAGCTTTGTAATTTATAAAGAAAAGTATGGACAGGCACAGTGGCACACACCTGTAATCCCAGTGACTCTATAGGCTGAGGCAGGAGGAATGCAGGTTCAAAGCCAGTCTCAACAACTTAGTAAGGTCCTAAGCAACTTATGAGACCTTTTCTCAAAACACAAAATAAAAGGGACTGCGGATGTGGTTCAGTGATTAAGTGTCTCTGGATTCAATCCCTAGTACCAAAACAACAACAACAAAATGTATAACTCACAGTTTTGGTGCCATCTATTCAGCTTCTGATGAGAGTCCCCTGGGCTGCATCACATTGTGGTAGGAAAAAGAGCAATATGAGAATATATAGTGGCCTCAGCTATGCTGAATTTTGCTTACTTGCCTTTTCCTTTATAAGAACATGCTCTTTTATAACTAACTCACTCTGCAGGACCAGCATTCATTCCTTTCCAGATCAGTGCTCCCAATAACCTAATTATTTTGCACCTCTTAAAGGTTCTACTACCTCAACATCACCACACTGAGGACCAAACCTCCAGCAAAAGAAACCTTTGGCGACTAACTGCATCCATACCATAGCATTCCTTATTAGAAGAGAAACCAACCCATAAAGCCTAACACTCAGTATCCTTCATATAATAATCTTTTTTTAGTCTTGTCTTCCCCTAGTCCTTTGTAAACACCCCCCAAGTCAGACAAGTCTCTTCACTGTCTCTCTTCTTTAGGAGCTTAGAATTGGGCATATAGTAGGGACAAATAAAATACTGAATCATCAGAAATACAACACCTCAATACATTCCACAAAGTAGAGATAGTAGAAAACAAGACACTTGACTAAAGGTTTCTTGAGTAAAGGGTCTAGATGCCCTCCTACCCCATCAGCATTTAACACAGTCCTGAGAAAGTAGGGACTTTGTCTCTATTGTTCACTGCTGCATTACATCACTAGAAAAGTGCCTGGAACATCACAGGCACCTGGTAAATATTTATTTAATGAATGAGTAATATGCAACCAGCACTATACTAAGCATCTTACACTACTTACCCCATTTAATCCTCTGAGCAACTTTATTAGGTAGACACTATTATATCATCACATTTTACTATTGAGAAAAATGGAATCCCAGGATAATTAGGTCAATTTTCTGATCACAGTTAATAAATGGCAGAGGCAGGATTGTAACCCAGGAAGCCTAGCTCCTGAACTGCCCTTTAACCACTACCAATACTGCTTCCCTGGCAATCTAAATAAATCTTAGAATTCCCAGTGTTAAGAATTATGAGACAGAACAGATGAATGCAAGATGGATGAGCCCTCTGGAAAGAACAGGCCTGAAGGATCTGGATGAATAACAAAACAAAGAGGTGAATGTTTCCTACTCAATTCATTTCACCATCCCCATCAAAACTCATCTCTTTCTGTGTCCCCTTTCCCCAAATACATGTTAAGTGTTGAGTGGTTTAATGTGTTAATATTCTTGAAGACTTCTAGTGACCTTGCTCCAAAATGACCTTTTCTGTCCCCAACATCCTGCAACCCATTGGCTCTTCCCTTCGCTAGATACCAATCTCATGCCATTTTCTACCACTGGTCAGCCTCACTTGTAGAAATGCCTAGTCTCTGTAACTAGATTGTTTCCTAAATGTGAGGCATAAATTTAGTGCCCACCTGTCTCCATGCTTATCCCATAAGTATCTAAACAAGTGCCTACTAGATAATTGATGATATGTAAATATTTGCTGAGGGATATGAAGGAGTCCCTCATGAAGGATACATGAAGTATATTACCTAGAAAGCACACGACTTGCTATTAAACAAGACCTCTTTGAGCTGGGCTCGGTGGTGCATGCCTGTAATTCCAGCAACTTGGGAGGCTGAGGCAGGAAGATCTTGAGTTCAAAGCCAGCCTCAGAAGATTAGAGAGACACTTAGCAACTCACTGAGACCCTGTCTCTAAATGAAATATTTAAAAAGGCTGGGAATGTGGCTCAATGGTTAAGCACCCATGGGTTCAATCCCTGGTGCCAAAAATAAATAAACTAACAAACAAACAAACAAGACCTTTTTGGCTTTCATATTCAATCCCATTTAGACTAGTAACTGTTTGAAGAAGAGAATATATGGAAGTTTGGGGTTGGGGGAACCTAGCAATGTTGACACTAGCTAAGTTTTTAAAATAGGCCAAGTTCTTGTTCAATGGGTCCACTTTCCCCATCATTCCTGAGTGCTCTAGCAAATGATGAAGTTTTGCCAGTCAGGATGAAAGTTACCAGGTATACTTAACACTCAAGTGCAGTCTTTGCCTCTCCTGGGCAAAGACAGAACTTTAACTCAATAGGAATGAACCACTTGGGGGTGGAAAGTCAGGCATATGGAACCTGGGTAAAGCTATCTAGGGCAAGCTCTCTTTTGCCAGGACCCTTTCAGACACAGTCAATATAAGACTTTCTTTGTCCATGCTCAGATATCATACTGCATGTACAAACTCACAAAGCCATCAGGTCCATTCCCAAGTTTCTGCAGAAGGTAGCCTTCTTCTGCCCTTTTCCTGCCCTACTCCAACCCCTCCCAGCAGCCTGTGCTACATTTCATTTTCTTCCACTGCTCTGACAATCATTATGATAAGTCAGATGTCAGTAACTATAACAACAGGCTGCCACAGTGCTGGGGCTCTGTCTTTCTGGGAGATAGATACACGGTTGTTTACCTGGGAGCAATCAGGGCTATGAGTCAACCAACACAGGCCTCCTAAAGGACCTTGGATTCAGCTGGGTGGTCCACTCATAGGAAGGTACTCAAGTCGTCTACACATACAATCTAAACCACCGTCCTGTTTCACAGAGGCTCTTCCCTATCTCTCCAGAACGTTGGGTACAGCTGATCTCCCCTATTTTGGAAAAGATAAACCAATCCTCTCCTTGTCATTACTGGGCAAGAACTTGAGCCCCAGGCGAGTGGCAAGACCTCCTATGCTCTTTTTTCCCCCATCCCCCTTATGTTCCTCTGCCTCTCTAGCCTATCAAAACTACTCTCAGATGAAGATCACAGCCAGAGCATAAATGACTGACATGACTTTCAAGTATCAACACCATATGAAGACATGAATTTTTAATAGAGATCAAATATTAAAGTAAAAATGATGAGACTCTAGCAGGTAGAATTTTCTGCACCAGAGGGTGTATGTGTGTGTGTGTGTGTGTGTGTGTGTGTGTGTGTGTGTGTGTG